ATGGGTGGCAAAAATTAGATCCTCTCCCTTTTTTTGACATCTTTTATTGTAGCCTATGTGGCAGTCCATTAAAGCTGGGTTGAATGCCTAAATTTCCTGCATTTTAAGGGGAATGTGGGCACCCATTCCCAATTTTATTGCAACACATAAATCCCTGATGGAAGTTGGCCAAGATATATTTTCTACTCTAAAAACAACTGAGTTTTTTCCAGCAAAATAAAATGCCAGAGTTCTTTGTGCTCAGTCAGCTTCAGACAGAAAGCAAAAATGACCCTTCTTTTCCTTCGGATGTGAGAATTTGTGCAGAGCTCTACTAGGATGTGTAACTAAAGCAATGTGAAAAGTCTTAAGCCCCACTGCCATATGATATGACAGGCTATACTATTTCAGAGTTTGCTGCCAAATCCTAATCTAATATAGGCTGTTACATTTCCTTTAGCAAAAGAGTTTCCAGTCATGTCAGAAAATATTTTAACCAAAGCAGAGAAGGAGATTGTGATCTATTTAGGAAAACAGAGTAGTTATTACTTTGGATAATATTTTGCTATTAGCTTATTACAAAAGGTTCGATTCAGACTTCATAGTTGCTGATCAGTGATGCATTTATTTGGGGAAGTGTGGTAACTAAAAACTTGCTGGACTGACAAAATAATGCATAGCCAAAGTGGGAATTCAGAAGCATGACAGATTAGCTTTCCACTGCAATTCTGTGATTTTAAATTATTATAAATCAAAATTGTTTCACTTCCCTTTGGAATGAAATAGGATCATTTGGAAATAATATGAAACCATTCTGTGAAATCACTTCATCAGAAGAAAACGACATATTGTCTTCCTCAGACCACCAAATTTGTGTAGAACAAATATTTTTTTCTGATACTTAGCTCATAGAGATGCTTTGTGAGTAAATTAATTATGTTTAAGTGCATTAAAGATAAAAAGTGATGCACAAATATTAATATGCAATAATAATGATAAGGAAGGACTCTATATTAACCTCTTAGATCTATTTTATTTTATTTTATTTTATTTTATTTTATTTTATTTTATTTTATTTTATTTTATTTTTTAACTCCCTTTGTTACTTAGAGTTACACGTGGTTAAGCTCCTTATTTGTAGCCAAATTTTTATGTTCTATGTTTGAGATTTCTGGAGTGGCCGTGTCCAGGTTTTGTATCTATGTTTCCTGCAAAGAACATGAAGACACCTGAGGATACTCATTGCAGTGATAATTAAGTAATCAGATGTTTGTAAGTCAGCACTCTTTGAGTGCTTTGCTATGTCAGGAAGATAGCAGATGAAACGGCGTTTAGTTTCTTTTCTGAAACGACCTATTCTCACTCCATCTTCATTTCCACCCTCCTTGCCTCCTGCTTTCTGCTAGCAACCGCTGGTGCCCACAAGATGGCACTACGGCACAGCAGGGCGTTAGGCAACCAGGTCTGGAGCTCCCATTTTATAGCATGGTTACATCCCGTTAAAACTCCAGAGTTCAGACTGTAGTTTCCTTGTGTCACACAGACTTTCAGACCTGTAGCAGTTGGGAATTGCAGGAGATTCCTGCTAGGTGGTTTGGGGGAATACCAGTGTAGAAAGGGATCAAGCTGCTAAAAAGTCTGGGAAGCATGTTTAGCCTAAGACACCTTCTGTGAAAGGAAACTGTTGCCTGAAGGATCCTCTTAGATAAGAACTGGTTGGAGTAAATAGCACAGTTAGGTAAGTGTGTCAAACATGGTAACTCAATTAAATAGGCTTTAAAACATTTAATTCTTGGCCTATCTTGAAACTCTTACATGTAAGGCAAAAAATGTGTGTGTGTTTTTTTTTTCTCATTTGTTTATTATATATATATATATATATATATATTTGATGAGGCATAATCCTCAAATCATTTTTATTGAGATGAGCGCACAGAGAGGAAATGCCTTACCAAGCCCCAGCCACCTGAGACCCACTGGGCCATGCAGGCCACTGAATACCAAGTTAATTGGGCAGGGTGATATCAGCCACGAAGAGCATGCGAAGTCAGCACCCCCCCACCAACAGAAACTGAAAAAATATCCTGCCTGTCATGGAGCTGCTGTTTAGCTTTGGAGGGAGGAGAGCTCTTGCTTTCTGGAAGAGGAAGCAACCTTTGCAGCTGTGAAACCTGAGAGAACAATGGAGATTGTGTAGACCAGCAGTTGTGGGGGGCTGCTTTCTGCTCTCCGGGGCTCAATGCCAAAGTGGTCCCACAGCAGCAATCTTTTCTCTCTAATAAATTCTAAACTCCTTCTGACCTTATTGCTGTGCTCTGAGCTGAAATGCATCTGAACAATTGATGGGAGGCACCCCTTGTCTTAAAAACTGTGGATGCTTTCTGAACTCCAACAGAACTGCTCTGGACAATGTAGAAGAGACATGAAATGGGTGCTCCCGCCATATTTAAGACTTCTGATGCAAAAATTGGATCAGTTCTTTCTTTCCGATTACTGAAATATCCGAAGAGAGATGGCATTACTCCCAGCTTAGAAAATCACTTGTTGAACAACTGAACAATAGTCATGTATTGTTGAAATTTTACGATCTAGAAAAGTGATCTTCATTCTTAATCAGTGTAGCTTTTTTGTGTTGTGTTTCGCTTTTGCTGGTCTGTGCAGTCTTAGGGGTGGCGCAGCAAGGAGCAAAAAGTGTAAATGTGTGCTTACTCTCACCTCAGTGGGGAATTTCATGTATTAGGTGATGTGTGATTCCTCCCATCCTGACCTAACTCTAACTGAATTAGTCTCAAAATACTCTTTTCATTTCTAACTGTGGGGTGTATTCTTCACATTCTGTCGTCCTCTTTCAAACAAATGCTATACTTCTTTATAAGAGGGTTGCATTTTAGCAGTGAGTAAAGCAGTATTTGAACATTTACAGCTCCCCAGACTAGGAAATATCTCACGAAAGTCCCACTGCATTGTTTACAGACCCCTAATGGGGTGTGTGACAACTGTTTAAAACTAACATTTGTGTTGTTCTGAAAGTCGATGTCCTGAACAGTATGATTTCAATGATGAATGATAGTTTGAGTCTAACTACATTATTTTTTCTGGCAATCTTTTTAAAAGAAATACATAGATTTGTATTTTTACCAAGATGTGGGCCTGATTCTTTTTCAGCTTTTCTAACCAGTGGGACTATTCGTGTAGCAAGGTATTAATTGATATGAGTTCTGGGTGTCAGAAACTGTTCCTGTACCTTTTTCAAAGTCCATAATAAAATTATGGGCTCCCTCTGCTTTCGTAAGTAAAAATTGGTGCTTTTTGCATCATTACCAACAATACTGGGAAATTTGGGCCTACTGGTACTAAACAAAGTATTTTGTTTGTCTTGGTTTCAACTTTGTCTAAGTCTATCCCAAATCTGCATTGATGATGAGTGGTAAAGATCGCAGTGATAAAGCTTTCTGCCCAACAATGATCACAGAATGAAAAAAGGAAATACAACCATTAGTATTCATTTTTAGAATCATTATGAAGGATATTGACTTGACTTGATCGTGGCATTTGTATAGGTGGGCAGCCAGAAGTTGTAGCAAACTAATTCTATTACACACTAGAGCTAAGAGAGAAACAGTAATTTCAAAACATCTATTTAATCTCCAGGGCTTTTACTTACTTAAACAATATATAGTGTTTGCTTTTTTAGTTCTCTCTTTTTTTTTTTTTTTAAGGTGAAAGTAAACTGCAAACATAAAGTGAAACCTTAAAAATTTAAATACCACACTGAAACAGTCCTGAAGGCTATTTTTATTTATACTTCAGTATTATTTTAAAGTATCTGTTCAATTTAGGGTCCTTGATTTCATTCCAGGTTCTGTGGAGAGCAGGTCTAGTTATTACAGACCCTTCTCCTCTACTTTGTTATAAAACCATTTTATCCATGTACATATTAGGGCCATTGTTCTTCTAACTTTATGGATATGCCTAAAACCTAGTCACGTGAATATTCCCACTGATTTCTTTTATACTGTAAGCAAGAGCTTAGGCATGTGTTTATTTTACAAGAGTGAGAACTGAATTATTAGTTTCTCCTTGGAGGATTAAAACCCTTAGAAATGTCCAGTTTTTATCAAATGAGATGTAAGATCCCAGGTTTACACCACTGTTTCTCTATACATCACCAGGCCAAATACATTTACACGATACAGTAGAACGATATCATTCCCTACAACAGATAGCAGTGGACTTTTATAGTAAGTGGCTCACAACTATTGGATTACTGTATGCAAGGATTTGTAATTTATGTTTTAAATTATATACCAGGATGGACTGCATATTTTTATACATATTTATGTGTGTGTGTGTGTGTGTGTTGTGTTGGATTGTAGCCAAGACTAAGAAATGCTGCTTGTATTGAAGCTCTGAATGGCCTCCTTCACAGTGATCATTATGAAAGCATTTTCTCTCTCTAATATCGACTACCCCACAATGCTGTTTCCTTTAGCTAACTATATTTCTGTCTCCTTTCATACTAGAAATTATTCCCTCCACCTCTTGTCAGCTACTAGGATTCATTTTAAATTATGTAGTTACTGTCCACAAGGGTACTTTGGCCAGTACAGTTTAAGGATTGGGAGGATTTATAGATCAACTGCTTGAAAATAATACAAGATTTTCAGCAGTGAAATAAGCATTTGAAACTGCAAATTTTGTAAATGGGTTCTTTAAAACTATTTGATGTGTTCCCCAGGTTCCCTGGTCCCCAGGTTCCCTGGTCCCCCTGGCTCCAAGAGCTGATCAATAAAATTTCCTAAAGCCACAGGCTTCTCCATTAACCTTTGTCTTAAGAATCCAAGTGAGCTACTGAATAGTGCCAGCTATCAGGAGCAATTGTAGGTTTTTGTTAGTTCATGGGATCCTCCCTCTATCACCATTTGAAAAGAAGAGCATTGCTATTGGATATAGATGAGATGGAAAGGATCATATATATGTCATACAGTATGTATTAAATGTAAATCATTTATCTTTTGAAGGAAAGACAAGGTGATCAGGCTTAGGAAGCCCCATCTGATTAAAGAAAAAACTGAACCACACGAAATGGGAACAGAGTAACTCAAAGTCACATGAAAGATTAATGCACATGGTAAGAACAGAAACACTGCTGGATTGCAGCCTACCATGATGTCAGAGTACTACTTCTTACTAGAAGAGACATCCTGTTAAAAGAGAAGAAAACCACAAAACAATGTTATTATCTAATTGTTAACATGCTTGTGAAATCAAACCAACCACTGTTGCCAGACTCTCTCATAGATTGTCCCGTCTTATGTGGAGGAAAAATCCTAAGTGTTCATGCATGGACAGACTGAGCTTGAGTATCAGAGAGCTAAGGCAGCTCTCTGATACTTTATTTTTAACCATTCTACAAGCGATGCCTACAATCTAAGACACAACTGTATCTAATGTGGTGTTAATCACAGGTGTGCAAAAGCGCCAATATGAATAGGAGGACAGTTCTGAATGGTTACCTTAGATAGATCACATGCCTCTAAAGAGCAATCTATACCATGGAGAGGTTTAAAGTCCTACCATCAAGTTAGCAAACGATCTTGCCGTTGATTTTCAGTCCTCATCTTTTTCTTGTGGTAAATACATTAAAATGTGATGAATTTAACAAACTGCTCCAAAACTACATCAAGGACACTTGTGCAGCCTGAATTCTGGATTCCTGGATAACCAGAATAGTATGACTCAGAGGACCGTATCAGCTTTCCAGTCATCTATTTTACAAAAATACTTGAAGTACTTCTTAAACATTTCCAACTATAATTGCGTGGTTATTTTAGCCCTTTGCACTTACACTGTGAAATACTCAAATTAAACAAGACTAATTGCATATTCTTTTTGTACAGGATGATATTTATCCCAAGTGGTGTAACTGGCACTTTGTTTATGTGTACACTGTGTAACTCAGGGTAATACAGAGATACCCAAGTTAACTGGAAAGAACAAGATCATGACAATTACAGCAAAAGCATAGACAACATGGAAGGGAGGAGCAGATGAAGGAAAACTACATCCAGAACATAACATTCTTAAGCTTCCACAATTGGGCAAATCTAAGTAGCTTTACAATATTTTTACCAGTGAATAAATCTCTCTTCTCTGGAAATTTGCACTAGGGACCGTTGTTAGAATCAGAATCCTGTTCTAAGAGCATGATGAAAAATGTTGCACTCCAAGTTGGAAATTGGAGAGGAAAACGATCCTGTATACGTAAGAATTGTACTCAAACCACTGATTACACTTTTTCTTCCCCCTTAACAGATGCTTACACCTTTTACTTTTAACCTGAGAAGCAACGGGTAGTTTCCACATTTCCCTTGGGGATAGTGTACTCTTCTGTCTTTTGCTTCTGTACAAACAGTTCAAAATTTTAAAGTCATGTTGTCAGACATACACCCAAACAACCTTGCACGGCATTACATGTTCCGCCCCCCCCCCCTCCTCGTCCCCCTCGTCCCCGTCCCCAGTCCCGTCCCTCCCCCCAAGACAGGTCAAGCCCTGAAGGCAAGACCAGACAAGTAAATAATGTGAACATAGAAAAGTAACTTGTAAATACATTACGTTTTGGCAGTTTTTTGGCGCTTTGTGGGGCTTAACTGCGCTTCAGTGAGAAGAACGTCTACTGGTGTGAACTGAAATTATGCCTCTGTGCCACAATGTATTTTTTTTGTTTGTTTGTTTTTTGGGGGGAGGGGGTGGGGCAAAATTTCTTGTGGACACCTGCAGGAGTTGCAAGATAATAATAAAATGTAGGTGAAGGAAAAGTTCCTTCTGTGTTGTTGTTGGTTTTGTTTTCTTTTCCATGCAGTCTTAAAATGAAGGTCCCATTTTCGGGCCCTTGGCAGAGTGTAAGCATGCCGGAACACTTCACGCTACGTAGATCATATTTGTCTGAAATGATAATATCATCCTGTGAAATATGTTCATCTGATTCGTGTCAATATGGAACAATGCTAGGGCCTCAGCATGAAATGTGACCTTCTGTCTTACATCCTCTTGTATAAATAACCACAAGTCCAAGAGAAACAGAGTGGTTAGTGTATCTAGTTCTTGTATCTTGCAAAAGAATGGTCTAGCAGTTCATGTCGATAGAGGGTTTGAAGGGTAAACCTTGAGACTCAGGTCTGGGAGATAAGAGAATAGGGGGGAGTTTTTTGAGCTAACTGCTGACTATTTCATGAGACACAACTTTCTGACATGTGGCCCAGAGACCACTAAATAAGGAGGGTGGTGGTGGTGTGGGGAAGCTGAGGAACAAAGGACGAAGGACGAAGCCTGGGAGGAAGACTACGAGCCTTCAGTACGAGCGACCCCCAGAGGGACTGCCGGAGACTGATACGTATGCATCCGTGGGATGGTTCGGGTGCCGGGAAACTAATTATAAGAACCCTGCCTTTTCCAAAAGTGGTGATGAATATGTATTAGCCTAGGAGCATAAAAACCAGCCGCCTGATGTAACTGGTGTGCATCTTGGTGGAACAGAGACTCCCGGCACACCCAGCGCTGTTTGCTTACCTCTATTCCTTTAATAAATTGTAAACTTTGATTGTAACCCTATTTGGGACTCAGTCATTTATAACAATACATATAGTCTGCTGCAGCCTGAAAAGTAGCCTGTGCCTCAGGTGCTGTTTTCTGCCTCTGCTTTTGTTACTACATCCTTGTAAGTCTTCAAAAGGGAAATGAAGTTATCCTATTCAGAAAAAACACCATCCAGAAGAAACTTTGGTTGATTTCAGGGCCTGAATTCTCACTGAAACCAAAGGCGGGTATAGAATCATAGATTATCCCGAGTTGGAATGGTCCCCTAAGGATCATTGAGGCCAACTCCTGGCACCACACAGGTCTACCCAAAAATTCAGACCACGTGACTAAGTGCACAAGTCCAAATGCTTCTTAAACGCCGACAGGCTTGGTGCAGTGACTACTTGCCTGGGGAGCCTGTTCCAGTGTGCAACAACCCTCTCAGTGAAGAACCTCTTCCTGATGTGTAGCCTAGGCCTCCCCTGCCTCAGGTTGACGCCATTCCCTTGGGTCCTATCACTGGGGACTGAAGAGAATAGATCGGTACCTGCCCGTCCACTCCCCCTTGCGAGGAAGCTGTAGACTGCGACGAGGTCTCCCCTCAGCCACCTCGTTTCCAGGCTGAACAGGCCCAGTGACCTCAGCCGCCCCTCATACGTCTTCCCCTCTAGGCCCTTTGCCATCTTTGTAGCCCAGTATCTTACTGACTTGAAGAAAGAGGCTTTAATCTGTCCTGGTTTGTTTACTAACAAAGGAGCACAAAAGAGACGCCTGTCCTTGCCTCTGAAGAGGAGGTGAAGGAAGAGCCAGTGCAAGGAACACAAAAATCAGTTGCGCCAGACTAACACGTGGTTGTATCTGAGCTTGGAGACTGCAACCCTCTTCAGACTTCCAGATCTAGAGGAACACTTTGGCTGCAGCCTAAAAGCCATGTGTACATAAGCTCCCTCAAGCCAGCCAATCTTCTTCCCATGACCTGCCAGGAAACAGCAATGTGGGCATGTAACCAAATGTGTTGGGTCTGTCTGAGCTGGAGTCACCTTTTCCCTGCAGCAGCCCACACAGTGCTGTACTCTGCACTCGTAGCTGGAACAGCACTGATATCACTCCAGTGTTGTGTCTATTGCTGCGTAGTGCTGGCACAGCATCAGGACTCCTTCCAAGCCCCCAAGAGCCAGCAGGCTGGGGGTGGGCAAGTGATGGGGAGGGGACATTGCCGGGGCAGCTGACCTAAACCAACCAACGGGATATTCCATAACGCCTGATGTCACACTCAGCAATAAAAGGAGGGGCTCTTGTGGGGGAGGGGGCTGTTCCTCCTGAACAACCACTACGCGTTTGACGACCAGCTTCCCAGGACGTGGCCGAACACCGCTCGCTGATGGGAAGTAGAGAATAACTATTCTCTCTCTCTGTGCTTCCGCGCGGACTGATTGTTTCTTTTGTATCTGTTTTTCCTTCCCATTCCCTTTCCCTTTAATTAAACCTTTCTCATCTCAAACCTCGAGTTCTCTGTGTTGTATTTTCTCCCCCTTCCTTCTGAGGAGAGGGGGAGTGAGAGAGCAGTTGTGGTGGAGCTTGGCTGCCCACCTGAGTAAAACCACCACACCAAATCAAAGCCCAGACCTTCAGCCCAGTCCTTGACCTGAATAGCGAGCGAGGATCCGGATCCTGGCATTTATACGTGATAGCTTATAGGCAGCGGAAGTAAATAGTGTAGTCAGAGGTCACGGGGCTAGATTTTGAAAAGTTTTCCTGCATAAGGAAGACATCTCAGAAAAGCAGATTTAAATAACATTAATGCCAAGAAAAGTCATTCTGATTGCTATATTCTTTATCCTGTCGTGACTAGACAGATGAAAATCTATGATAGCAATTTTGCCTTTAAGGTCATTTTCTTTGATTTCTTTGATTTCTTTATCTGTCTATCTATTTATTTATTTATTTATTTTAGCAGGCTCTGTACTAATTTTCCTGACAGAATGACTGACAGAAATACGACCCTTGTGCACCTTTCCTAGTTAATTCATTAGGTCAACTCTAACCACTAAGCCCCTTGTCAGGTTATTTCTATTAATGATAAGGAGCAATTGATCTTAAAAGACTGAAGCCAGGTAGAGGAGCCTATTCCACAAGGTCTCTTGGCTCCACCCTTGTGAAGTGAAATCTGCCAGGTGTGGGTCATTTGACCTTTGCTATATAGGAAGCTTGAGGAGCTGTAGGGAATTGCCTTCCTGGGGGAGTCTGAGGCTCAGGTTCTCTAGGGTGCTTTTCTGCTGTTGTGGTGAAGTGGGCTCAGTGTTCCCCCGTGGGCTGTTTTTTCTTTGTGTTTTCTGCCATCAACGTGAAATAGTTTTAGTGACTCTATGAGCTAGCTATGTTGGCAGTGCCTTCTCAGTGCAGTAGAACCCTGGTGGTGCAACTTCCCTGAACCTGAGTCACTTCCACACTGCTTCACAGAAGCTGGCAGGTAAGTGTTCCTGGGTTCTACAGTTCTTTAATGCTGAGGAGTTGGAGTACTTCCTTCACCTTGTCTGTTTTCAGTGAAACTACTCATGTGGATTCTAAGCTCCCTTTCCAGCCCTTAAAAACAGAATGATGATAATAATAATGGTAAATAAAAATAAAACCCCACCAACTCAGAAGCTCCAGTGCTTACAGGTAAGCCTGACTTCCAAGAATGTTCTTAACTATTTGTTAAGGCTGAACATCAGGCAGTGTGAAAAAGGTGCCTTAACGTGAACTCAAATTCTGCCCTGTGATAAGTAGACACAGATTAGGAGAGATACTACTGGTGGCATTATCGTAACTTTCAGTAAGTGGAAGTCGCGAAACTGGGCTGTTCATAAAAGAAATGGCGCTTTGACAGCATGTGAGTCAAAAGCAGTCCGAAGAAACCCTCTCCTCTTCCCTTCTTCCCTACAGGCCTGCGTGTCTCCGCTGCAGAGAAAGTTCTGGAAGAGGCCCACCAACTCAGAGAATCGATCTTCCTCCCCACCTGTAGAAACCAGTGTCTGAGCTATCGAGGAAAGCATCCTTCTGAGAAAGGAAGATGCCAGAGCGGGAGCACAGCCCGTGCCACCCTGCAGTTTTGCCACCGTGACGGAGGTATGGTCCCCAGGTTCCCTGGTCCCCAGGTTCCCTGGTCCCCAGGTCCCTGGTCCCCAGGTTCCCTGGTCCCCAGGTTCCCTGGTCCCCAGGTTCCCTGGTCCCCAGGTTCCTGGCCCCTGGTCCCCAGGTTCCCTGGTCCCCAGGTTCCCTGGTCCCCAGGTTCCCTGGTCCCCAGGTTCCCTGGTCCCCAGGTTCCCTGGTCCCCAGGTTCCCTGGTCCCCAGGTTCCCTGGTCCCCAGGTTCCCTGGTCCCCAGGTTCCCTGGTCCCCAGGTTCCCTGGTCCCCAGGTTCCCTGGTCCCCAGGTTCCCTGGTCCCCAGGTTCCCTGGTCCCCAGGTTCCCTGGTCCCCAGGTTCCCTGGTCCCCAGGTTCCCTGGTCCCCAGGTTCCCTGGTCCCCAGGTTCCCTGGTCCCCAGGTTCCCTGGTCCCCAGGTTCCCTGGTCCCCAGTTCCCTGGTCCCCAGGTTCCCTGGTCCCCAGGTTCCCTGGTCCCCAGGTTCCCTGGTCCCCAGGTTCCCTGGTCCCCAGGTTCCCTGGTCCCCAGGTTCCCTGGTCCCCAGGTTCCCTGGTCCCCAGGTTCCCTGGTCCCCAGGTTCCCTGGTCCCCAGGTTCCCTGGTCCCCAGGTTCCCTGGTCCCCAGGTTCCCTGGTCCCCAGGTTCCCTGGTCCCCAGGTTCCCTGGTCCCCAGGTTCCCTGGTCCCCAGGTTCCCTGGTCCCAGGTTCCCTGGTCCCAAGGTTTCCCTGGTCCCCAGGTTCCCTGGTCCCCAGGTTCCCTGGTCCCCCAGGTTCCCTGGTCCCCAGGTTCCCTGGTCCCCAGGTTCCCTGGTCCCCAGGTTCCCTGGTTCCCCAGGTTCCCTGGTCCCCAGGTTCCCTGGTCCCCAGGTTCCCTGGTCCCCAGGTTCCCTGGTCCCCAGGTTCCCTGGTCCCCAGGTTCCCTGGTCCCCAGGTTCCCTGGTCTCCCCAGGTTCCCTGGTCCCCAGGTTCCCTGGTCCCCAGGTTCCCTGGTCCCCAGGTTCCCTGGTCCCCAGGTTCCCTGGTCCCCAGGTTCCTGGTCCCCAGGTTCCCTGGTCCCAGGTTCCCTGGTCCCCAGGTTCCTGGTCCCCAGGTTCCCTGGTCCCCAGGTTCCCTGTCCCCAGGTTCCCTGGTCCCCAGGTTCCCTGGTCCCCAGGTTCCCTGGTCCCCAGGTTCCCTGTCCCCAGGTCCCTGGTCCCCAGTTCCTGGTCCCCAGGTTCCCTGGTCCCCAGGTTCCCTGGTCCCCAGGTTCCCTGGTCCCCAGGTTCCCTGGTCCCCAGGTTCCCTGGTCCCCAGGTTCCCTGGTCCCCAGGTTCCCTGGTCCCCAGGTTCCCTGGTCCCCAGGTTCCCTGGTCCCAGGTTCCCTGGTCCCCAGGTTCCCTGGTCCCCAGGTTCCCTGGTCCCCAGGTTCCCTGGTCCCCAGGTTCCCTGGTCCCCAGGTTCCCTGGTCCCCAGGTTCCCTGGTCCCCAGGTTCCCTGGTCCCCAGGTTCCCTGGTCCCCAGGTTCCCTGGTCCCCAGGTTCCCTGGTCCCCAGGTTCCCTGGTCCCCAGGTTCCCTGGTCCCCAGGTTCCCTGGTCCCCAGGTTCCCTGGTCCCCAGGTTCCCTGGTCCCCAGGTTCCCTGGTCCCCAGGTTCCCTGGTCCCCAGGTTCCCTGGTCCCCAGGTTCCCTGGTCCCCAGGTTCCCTGGTCCCCAGGTTCCCTGGTCCCCAGGTTCCCTGGTCCCCAGGTTCCCTGGTCCCCAGGTTCCCTGGTCCCCAGGTTCCCTGGTCCCCAGGTTCCCTGGTCCCCAGGTTCCCTGGTCCCCAGGTTCCCTGGTCCCCAGGTTCCCTGGTCCCCAGGTTCCCTGGTCCCCAGGTTCCCTGGTCCCCAGGTTCCCTGGTCCCCAGGTTCCCTGGTCCCCAGTTTCCCTGGTCCCCAGGTTCCCTGGTCCCCAGGTTCCCTGGTCCCCAGGTTCCCTGGTCCCCAGGTTCCCTGGTCCCCAGGTTCCCTGGTCCCCCAGGTTCCCTGGTCCCCAGGTTCCCTGGTCCCCAGGTTCCCTGGTCCCCAGGTTCCCTGGTCCCCAGGTTCCCTGGTCCCCAGGTTCCCTGGTCCCCAGGTTCCCTGGTCCCCAGGTTCCCTGGTCCCCAGGTTCCCTGGTCCCCAGGTTCCCTGGTCCCCAGGTTCCCCTGGTCCCCAGGTTCCCTGGTCCCCAGGTTCCCTGGTCCCCAGGTTCCCTGGTCCCCAGGTTCCCTGGTCCCCAGGTTCCCTGGTCCCCAGGTTCCCTGGTCCCCAGGTTCCCTGGTCCCAGGTGGTCCCCAGGTTCCTGGTCCCCAGGTTCCCTGGTCCCCAGGTTCCCTGGTCCCCAGGTTCCCTGGTCCCCAGGTTCCCTGGTCCCCAGGTTCCCTGGTCCCCAGGTTCCCTGGTCCCCAGGTTCCCTGGTCCCCAGGTTCCCTGGTCCCCAGGTTCCCTGGTCCCCAGGTTCCCTGGTCCCAGGTTCCCTGGTCCCCAGGTTCCCTGGTCCCCAGGTTCCCTGGTCCCCAGGTTCCCTGGTCCCCAGGTTCCCTGGTCCCCAGGTTCCCTGGTCCCCAGGTTCCTGGTCCCCAGGTTCCCTGGTCCCCAGGTTCCCTGGTCCCCAGGTTCCCTGGTCCCCAGTTCCCTGGTCCCAGGTTCCCTGGTCCCCAGGTTCCCTGGTCCCCAGGTTCCCTGGTCCCCAGGTTCCCTGGTCCCCAGGTTCCCTGGTCCCCAGGTTCCCTGGTCCCCAGGTTCCCTGGTCCCCAGGTTCCCTGGTCCCCAGGTTCCCTGGTCCCCAGGTTCCCTGGTCCCCAGGTTCCCTGGTCCCCAGGTTCCCTGGTCCCCAGGTTCCCTGGTCCCCAGGTTCCCTGGTCCCCAGGTTCCCTGGTCCCCAGGTTCCCTGGTCCCCAGGTTCCCTGGTCCCCAGGTTCCCTGGTCCCCAGGTTCCCTGGTCCCCAGGTTCCCTGGTCCCCAGGTTCCCTGGTCCCCAGGTTCCCTGGTCCCCAGGTTCCCTGGTCCCCAGGTTCCCTGGTCCCCAGGTTCCCTGGTCCCCTTCCCTGGTCCCCAGGTTCCCTGGTCCCCAGGTTCCCTGGTCCCCAGGTTCCCTGGTCCCCAGGTTCCCTGGTCCCCAGGTTCCCTGGTCCCCAGGTTCCCTGGTCCCCAGGTTCCCTGGTCCCCAGGTTCCCTGGTCCCCAGGTTCCCTGGTCCCCAGGTTCCCTGGTCCCCAGGTTCCCTGGTCCCCAGGTTCCCTGGTCCCCAGGTTCCCTGGTCCCCAGGTTCCCTGGTCCCCAGGTTCCCTGGTCCCCAGGTTCCCTGGTCCCCAGGTTCCCTGGTCCCCAGGTTCCCTGGTCCCCAGGTTCCCTGGTCCCCAGGTTCCCGGGTCCCCAGGTCCCTGGTCCAGGTTCCCTGGTCCCCAGGTTCCCTGGTCCCCAGGTTCCCTGGTCCCCAGGTTCCCTGGTCCCCAGGTTCCCTGGTCCCCAGGTTCCCTGGTCCCCAGGTTCCCTGGTCCCCAGGTTCCCTGGTCCCCAGGTTCCCTGGTCCCCAGGTTCCCTGGTCCCCAGGTTCCCTGGTCCCCAGGTTCCCTGGTCCCCAGGTTCCCTGGTCCCCAGGTTCCCTGGTCCCCAGGTTCCCTGGTCCCCAGGTTCCCTGGTCCCCAGGTTCCCTGGTCCCCAGGTTCCCTGGTCCCAGGTTCCCTGGTCCCCAGGTTCCCTGGTCCCCAGGTCCCTGGTCCCAGTTTCCCTGGTCCCCAGGTTCCCTGGTCCCCAGGTTCCCTGGTCCCCAGGTTCCCTGGTCCCCAGGTTCCCTGGTCCCCAGGTTCCCTGGTCCCCATGTTCCCTGGTCCCCAGGTTCCCTGGTCCCCAGGTTCCCTGGTCCCAGGTTCCCTGGTCCCCAGGTTCCCTGGTCCCCAGGTTCCCTGGTCCCCAGTCCTGGTCCCCAGGTTCCCTGGTCCCCAGGTTCCCTGGTCCCCAGGTTCCCTGGTCCCCAGGTTCCCTGGTCCCCAGGTTCCCTGGTCCCCAGGTTCCCTGGTCCCCAGGTTCCCTGGTCCCCAGGTTCCCTGGTCCCCAGGTTCCCTGGTCCCCAGGTTCCCTGGTCCCCAGGTTCCCTGGTCCCCAGGTTCCCTGGTCCCCAGGTTCCCTGGTCCCAGGTTCCTGGTCCCCAGGTTCCCTGGTCCCCAGGTTCCCTGGTCCCCAGGTTCCCTGGTCCCCAGGTTCCCTGGTCCCCAGGTTCCCTGGTCCCCAGGTTCCCTGGTCCCCAGGTTCCCTGGTCCCCAGGTTCCCTGGTCCCCAGGTTCCCTGGTCCCCAGGTTCCCTGGTCCCCAGGTTCCCTGGTCCCCAGGTTCCCTGGTCCCCAGGTTCCCTGGTCCCCAGGTTCCCTGGTCCCCAGGTTCCCTGGTCCCCAGGTTTCCCTGGTCCCCAGGTTCCCTGGTCCCCAGGTTCCCTGGTTCCCTGCCCCAGGGTTCCCTGGTCCCCAGGTTCCCTGTTCCCAGGTTCCCTGGTCCCCAGGTTCCCTGGTCCCCAGGTTCCCTGGTCCCCAGGTTCCCTGGTCCCCAGGTTCCCTGGTCCCCAGGTTCCCTGGTCCCCAGGTTCCCTGGTCCCCAGGTTCCCTGGTCCCAGGTTCCCTGGTCCCCAGGTTCCCTGGTCCCCAGGTTCCCTGTCCCCCAGGTTCCCTGGTCCCCAGGTTCCCTGGTCCCCAGGTTCCCTGGTCCCCAGGTTCCCTGGTCCCCAGGTTCCCTGGTCCCCAGGTTCCCTGGTCCCAGGTTCCCTGGTCCCCAGGGTTCCCTGGTCCCCAGGTTCCCTGGTCCCCAGGTTCCCTGGTCCCCAGGTTCCCTGGTCCCCAGGTTCCCTGGTCCCCAGGTTCCCTGGTCCCAGGTTCCCTGGTCCCCAGGTTCCCTGGTCCCCAGGTTCCCTGGTCCCCAGGTTCCCTGGTCCCCCAGGTTCCCCTGGTCCCCAGGTTCCCTGGTCCCCAGGTTCCCTGGTCCCCAGGTTCCCTGGTCCC